GGCTATTGGGAACTGGTCAAGATGCAGATGGAATCCATTGATGGAAAAGTGTCATACCCGCTCAAGGCATGCGTATATGATCGTGTGACCAAGAAGACGCAGGTCGTCGACTGGAGCCGGTACAAGTCCAGCTATGAACATCTGAAGTTCATAGACTTTCCCGAAATCTCCTGCACCACGGTCGACCTCCTGATTGGTCTAGACGTCATTGATGCCCACGCATCACTCGCGGAGTACAGACGCAGCAGCGGTGGACCAATTGCCTGCAAGACGCCACTGGGATGGGTGTGTATGGGCCCAACGCCCAGTCCACCCAGTGATGACGAGTTGTCCGTCAACTTCGTGCATGCTTTATAAGGTGAATGCAGCACAGACAGCCTGGTCCAGAATTTCTTGGATCTGGAGGCAGTCGGTATGAAGCACGAAGGCACCTACATCACCCCTGCAGAGAAGCTGGCTGAGGAGATCGTTGAGAAATCCATCAGCTTCCATGATCAGCGAGTCACCATGGCAATCCCATGGGTCCACAGCAACGGCGAGCCTGGTGTCACCGCTAATCGCGCCATGGCGGACCATCGCCTGCTCATGCTAGAGAAATCGCTGGACAAGCGTCCAGAGCTGAAGGCAGCATACGGCAAGGTCATACGTAGCCACATTGACAAAGGCTATGTGCGCGCAGTGTCGGCAGCAGAGGTTGAAGCAGATGGCGACGACCAGTGGTTCCTGCCGCATTTCGCAATTGTACGAGATGACAAGGCCACCACGAAGGTACGTGTCGTCTTTGATGCTGCTGCCAAGAATGACGGCACGTCGATCAATGAGTGCATGTACGCTGGACCCGCTCTGCAGAATGACCTAGTGAAAGTACTTCTGCGGGTGTGCAAGGAGCCATTAGCGCTCACGGCGGACATTACTGAGATGTTCCTGAAAAGTCATGCTAGCTGAGCAAGACCGCCGATATCATCGCTTTGTGTGGGACTCACGCGTATACGAGTTCCAGAGGTTGGTGTTCGGCATCAAGGCGTCTCCGTACCTGGCATGCAAGGCGCTACAAGTGGTGTGCCGCGAGACCACCGACAAGTATGACCCAGCCATGTTGCAGATCGTTGACGGAGACATGTATGTGGATTATCTGCTGCACTCTGCTGTCTCCGTACCGGACAGTACAGGACTTCCTTAAGCAGGGCAGCTTCCACCTCCGCAAGTGGCTCAGCAATAGCTCTGAGGTGATGGACGGAAGCTGACCGCTCACCGCAGCTCGTAGCTAGCATCAATGATCATGATCACTGTGTGCTACCATCAGTCAAGACGCTAGGCGTGATGTGGTCGGCAGAGGATGATACCTTTGCCTTGAGTTCAAGCCACCTGCAACGAAGAAGCTGACCAAGCGAGCCGTGCTGAATAAGATGGCATCTATATTTGACCCACGCGGACAACTAGTTCCCTTCACGATTAGCTCTCGTGTCATGTTCCAGGAGCTGTGCATCCTCGGGATGGTCCACTGGACGCTGAGTACACGCGGAGATGGACATCCTGGTTTAGCGAGCTGGGAGATCTGGCGCTGCTCCGTGCGCCGCGCTGCTTCAAGTGTCCGGGTCGCGAGTCGTCTGTCGCTACATTGTCGCTGCACGTGTTCACGGATGCTTCAGATGCCGCCTATGCCGCTAACGTGTACGTCCGTTCTGAGTACCCAGACGGCAACGTGCGAGTGACGCTAGCACTCGCCAAGGCGCGTCCATGTCCCACCAAGAAGATGTCGATCCCGAAGCTGGACCTGAAGGGTGCTGTGCTTGGTGTTTGCCTGACCAAGACAGTGAATGACGCGCTAGATCTGCCGCAGGCTAATGCCACCTACTGGTCCGACTCGATGAACGTGCTTCACTGGGTGAGAGCACATTCAAGAAAGTTTAAAGTCGACGTGGGCAACCGGATAGCTGAAGTACAAGAGTATTCAGCTGGCAACCAGTGGAACCACGTTCCTGGATAGCTGAACCCAGCTGACAAGGGCACCAGAGGCTTGACAGCAGCCCAGCTAGCCAGTGATTCAGTATGGTGGAACGGCCCCGAGTTCCTCGTCCAGCAGCACACTGAGTGGCCATCTCATCAGATAACTGTGTCAAAAGAGTTGCCCGGAATGGTAAAGCGAGCGCAAGGGATGGCGTTTGCTGTGCAGCAAGTGTGAGCGGAGGTGTTTCGTCTCCACCCCGACAACTACTCGTCATGGAAACGACTAGTAAGAGTGACGGCCTGGTGCTACCGTTTCATCAACCGGTGTCGTCGACGTCATGCTAGCACGAGAGGGGATCCGGAAGCAGCGAGTGCAGCAGTCGACTCTGTGGAGCTGAAGTCTGATGAGCTGCAGCGTGCCGAATTTCACTGGTATGCGATCGCACAAGCAGAGAGCTATCCCGCTTCGTATCGGTAGCTGACGTCAGGGAAGTCCCTTGCAGCAAATGACCCGCTGCTACGCTGATTACCCGTGTGTGCTACGCGTTGGAGGTCGTCTGAAGACTGCCAGCCACTTGCCTGAGCATACCCGGCATCCCATAATCTTGCCACAGCACCATCGGATTACTCAGCTGATAGTCGACGCCGAAGATCGCAAGAGTGATCACAGTGTTGGCCCAAACCACCTCTTGGCAAACCTGATGCTGCGGTTTTGGATCATCCTTGTCAAGGTTGTCACACGATCTCACCGTGCACACTGCGTGCTCTGCAAGAAGAAGTGGGCCACTGTGGCTTCGCAGCAGATAGCACCGCTCCCGCTATTCCGAACAGCTCCACCGTACCGGGTATTTTCAAGAGTGGGAGTTGACTATGCCGGTCCGTTCCGGACAAAACAAGGACGTGGCAAGACCCAGCTCAAGAGGTACCTCTGTGTTATCTCTTGTTTGCAATCTCGAGCCTGTCATTTCGAGATGGCGTATGGCCTGGACACCGAGTCGTTTCTACTAGCATTCACCCGTTTCTGCAAGCGCAGAAGCGTGCCAGCTGAGGTCGTGTCAGACAACGGGACGAACTTTGTCGGTGCAGAGCGCGAGCTAAGAGAAGCCGTTCAAGCGCTAGGTTCTGATGAAGTGGCCGCAAGTATGGCCAGTCAAGGAGTTCACTGGAGCTTCAATCCCCCTCTCGCTCCGCACTTTGGCGGCGTATTTGAGTGTGTGGTCAAGGCAGCAAAGCGCCAAGAGGCCGTTGGCCGCTAGCCAAAGTGATAGAAGGGTTCCCCGGATCTGATGGATTGGTCCGTGTGGTGAACATCAGAATTGGCGCCAAGCAGTCCAAGCGGCCGATAACGCAGTTTGTGCCATTGGAAGTTTAACCCATCGATGAAGGTACCGGTCAGTATGATAATCTCACGACTTCCGATTAGTCTGGAGTCGTTCGTGAGAGGGGAAATGTTGGAACGTTCTCCATTTGTTAGTGTTTGTCTTCGTTTAACATGTATCTTACTCAGTATGTCGTAATTGGACACTGCTCGATTATTCTTACCTTGTGCGTTTCACTATTTGTAACGTGGCTCCTCTGCTTCAGTTTTCGTTCTATCTCTCTGGCAGGGGCAGCCACCACCCGTCTGGTGGGTGCCAGCATCCTCCGGCAGTTGCGCTGGGACTCTACGATACATTCTTGTTCTTCGATAATTAGAAATCTGCCTTTCTAGTTCTTCGCTGCTTGAATTATTATTTATTTGTGTTGTTTCTTGCGGCACTCGCTTTTGTGTAGATTTGACCTTTTTTGAATGTCCGCGTGAGTACAGATGACATCATGCATTATATTCTGTCACGTGTTTTGCTTTGAGCGTGTCGTTCAAGATGTTTGAACTGCGCCCGCTGGCCGATTTTCTTTGCTTGCTGTTTTCTTTGCCAGTCAAGCGTGGGGACGCTACGGTGTCGTCCTCCTTGGCTGTGTGTCCGGTACGGGGCCGGGTACGTGCGTCCCCAGCTCTCCGTTCTTTGTTCTTTTTGAGTTAGATTCTTCAATGGTGTTTTGAGAACATGTTTGGTAATACAGTCTTCAAAATAGTTCGATGCTTCCAATGGTTGTGTCTGATGTTAGTGTGGGTTTGCGAGGAAACCGGTGAAACACCTTTTTCATTATTGTCATCTCTTTTGTTTTTGGTCCTTTTGGTGAAGCACGTAAAAGCGTAAATAGCTGTTTTCTCGAGCATCCTGCGAGCATCCCCTACAGCATAATCCGGTCATTTTCTGAGCATAATCCGCTTACCCCTACTAGTGTACAGAAGGGACCATGACACTATGTAGAATTACAGGGGTTGTAACTGAGAGGAGCATTATGGCGAGTCGATTGTCCAAGCCGGTTGTATTGCGTAGATAATGGTAGACAAGAGCAGTGATGGAGGAATGGGATTTGGGATAAAGAAGACGAGCTGTGAGACGTTGACGGGTGCTAGAATGATAAAGCACTTTTGTGCTCCCGCACATATTGCCAGGCGTCAGGCGCCCAGCCTCCCTATCCGACCCGCCTATCCGACCCGCCATACACAACAACAAAACTGAACTAAAGTTTTACATAATTTAATTATTCCACAAGACGGAGACTGGCAACGGACAAACAAAGAAGACTGGACACAATAAGGGAAACTTGAAACTGAAGAAAATGACAAACATCATGGCACCACATGAGCATGCGCGTCAACAAAACAAAACGTATGACAATGACGTAACCGTTCCAGGGTGCATGCACAAACTGGATGTGAAACCAAAACAATCGAACTAGGGGAAAAGGAGAGCGCAAAACAAAAACAAAATATACCAATGGACCACAACAAAATTGAGCCATGAAACGTCTTTCTTTCCAATAAAACCGATATGCAACAAACGCTTTACACAAAGCGTCTACAACTGTTCCCTTCAATCCAGTGCTGCAGATAATAATACTCACAGATATTAGAGGTTTGTTCATCACGTTTCCAGCAGTACTCTATATACACACAGTTATAATTACTATTCTCTGCGTTCAGTTGTGCAGTTGAGAATACTTACAGTTGGTAGAGGTTTGGTAGATTAGAGAACACACCGTCACTTAGAGTCTGGATCTGATTATTACTCAAAAGTCTACAAACGAAAAAGCACAAGGACAATGTTGTTCTTGCATAGTTCCAGGTGGTGCACAAAACACAGAGTGTAGGATGTTGTGGTTCTAATCTATAAGGCTGAATCATGACTCTGTTTTCAGGAATAACCTAGACTCCTAACCACAACATGATTCATATGCAACTTGGTTAGGTTGCATAGTTCACATACACCACTGTAACATATAGTCTCCGTCATTTTTCTTCTATTGTCAAGCATGAGGTTTGATGCAAAGCTAAGAAAACGCAATTTCTAAAGTTACTTTAACACTTCAGAAAAATAACGAACCACCCAAGCATGAAAAATATACTGGCTTGAATTATTACAAATTGCGTGAGAACTACCTGAATATGACGTTAAACAGTAGAACTAAACGGGGACTCATAGTCTTTGGCAACCCCCTGTTTTGTTAGGTATATGAAGAAATGGAGCAGAAATAACGAAATGCGTGCTATAAGGTTGAAGGTTCTGGAAATTTCAATGCTTTTCAAGTTAGTAGAATCTGTCATTGTTTTAGAGAATTATTCACAAAGGGAGAATGACTCATGGATTCAATTAGTCTAAAGGGCTTACTTATAATCTTCGTTCCGCGTTTCCGAAAACTTCAGAACATTTGTAGAGCTATAGAGGGATACATGATTTTGCATTAGGCACTATAGGGCAGCTCTGAAAATGTCTGGTACGGATTCGGCAACAGTCGAAGGTTCGTTGCAGAGCGTCTGCTAAGGATTCGGCAACAGTCGAAGGTTTGTTGCAGAGCGTCTGCTAAAGATCCGGCACCGCCCGCAAGTCTCGTGTAGAGCGTCAGCTAAGGACTTGGCATCGGCCGTAAGTCTGTTGTAGAATGCCATGTAAAGGCGCCGCCACGGCCGCATGTATATATGGAGACCAGCGGGCCTGATGAAATGTGAAAGCGAAATCTGAAAAACAATGAGCAATGGGTCCCAGATGCAATGAGAGAGAGACTAATTCAAAGAAGACTGGAACGAACAAAGCCAATGGAAAAATATTGACTGAGGCTAGGCTGATCAGGTCTTGAAAGTGCCGTGCACAGTTTCAAGTCCAAGTGGGTACCGTAATTTTTTGAAGAAGAATGAACGGGACATTCGAGGTGAACCAATGGAGCGTAATGGAGAGTTCAGGAACATTCTGTATCAGACAAAAATGTGACTTTAATGGGAGTTTGTTTCAAATCAAGCAGAACAATTTCAAGCCTTCAGTGCTCAATGAAGCGATCGCACTAGATGGTGAAATCCCACAGGATCTTGATCTTCTGGTCCTGCGGAGAGATGAAGTATCTCTTGCTTCAGGCACGTTAACCGCAGGTGCATGATGCTATTGGACCGATCACAGTGGTGCTTGTAGTACTCATATCCAGAAGGTATCCCATGTACACGCAGAGGCCGCCCGATTATTACGCTCCAAGTAATCCCGTCCAGCGACCTTTGAACACTCGCATAGGATATGGGCAACCGACTCGCCTGCCTTCCCACACATTCAAGACAGGTGGCTTCTGTAACAGTCCAACCAACTTCAGTAGTCATTCTTGGAATAAGCAATGATCCTTGCCATAATGCATTCTTATATACATGAACAAGCAATGATGGACATAACACCTAACAGCAGCAGCGTGATAATAGCAGGTGATAAGTGTATCCTATTCCTAGTGTTAGTAGTAACAGTGAATCTGTTACACCATTCCCCCCTCTCAACTGTCAGAACAGTACCAATTCGAAGGAACAGTTATGGTAACTAATGATCATGCATGGATATGTGGAATGCATGGTAGCCGAAAACAACACTGATGAACTCAAGATCCAGTGCATGTCCTCTGCAAATAACGCCTGGCTGGCAGGGAAGCACTATCCTAATCATGCAGAATGCTACATTTCTATTGCAACACGTAGAAACTAGCAATACAGCTGTGGCTGCCAATTAAATAGCAATTTATGAAAAACGGTCCAGGTAGGTTTTCAGCGGAATAATAGCGTTTCCTGCTTCATCCATCAAGTATTCCTCCGGCTCCCAGGTGGCATCTCGGTAGCCCTTCCATTTCACTAGGTATTGCGTGCGCCGTCCTCTCTTCTTGTGCGACAACACCTTTTCGACAATGTACCGCGTATGGCCATCCGCATCGGTTAGGGGTGGAGGTGCCGGCTGAGTACGGCCCGGTATCTCATTGCCATGGTACAGCTTGAGGGCAGCAATATTGAACACTGGATGGGCCCGAATGATTCTTGGAAGAGCTAATCTGTACGCATTCGGGGCCACTTTCTTCTGCACCTTGAACGGCCCATACCACTTGAGCCTTAATTTGTGTGAAGGCCTGTCTCGTTCCTCGGGCGTCAGCAGGAAGTCCCTGAAGACCAACACCTCATCCCCCTCCTTCAGGGCGTCCTCCACCCGTCCTCGATCCGCATACAATGATTGCCGGGCCTGCGCCGCCACGATGGCATCCTGTGCCTCACGTAGTGCCTCTACGCGGCCATCCAGCCATGACAGCGGACCATTCGTGTCCATGCCAGCTCCAGCTTTCTGCTTCGTCAATAAGCTCGAGGGAGTAACTGGATGGCATCCATGGTTGAGGAAAAATGGCGTGTTACCTGTTGACGCTTGATCGGCATTGTTGATCGCAAACTCACATAGCGATAGGAGTTCATCCCAATTGTTTTGCCTATGGTTGACGAAAGCTCTTAGCGTATCCTCAATGACACGGTTCACACGCTCAGTCATGCCATCGGTCTGCGGGTGGTTGGCCGTGCTCATTTTTAGCTCCAAGCCAAGAATACTGAAAACCTCCTTGAAGAACGCCGACGTGAATCGCGGATCTCGATCACAAACTATCGTTTTGCTCAAGCCATGGGCAGCAAACACATGATCCACGTACAATCGGGCTGCCTCCTTAGAGTCAACATGAACAGTCGTCGGGATCAGGTGCACATACTTCGTCAGACGGTCCACAAAGGTTAGAATGGCGCTATGTCCTCGGCAGGTCAGCGGCAGTGCCATGATGAAATCCATGCTGATGTCTGTCCAGGGCTGCTCGGGGACTGGAAGGGACTGCAATAGTCCTGCTTTCGTCTGGCTACCCCTTACGCGTTGGCACCGGTCGCAAGATTTAACGAAGTCCTTCACAGCACTTCTCATGCCTGGCCAATAGAAGTATCTGCTCAGCTTCAGGTAGGTCCTGTCTCTCCCCGGATGGCCGGCCGTCAGGCAATCATGATTCTGTTTGAGCAGTTGCAGCCGTACCGGACCGCGAAGAATGCAGAGGCGAGCATCGCCCGATGTTACTAGGTACAGCCGCCGGTCCACACTGTTCCAGACGTATCGCTCATGCATGGCGTCTTCGCTGCAAGCCATCAAGCGCTTGATTACTGGCGAAAGCTCTGGGTCACTATCATACCCTGCTGAGATCTGATTCGCAATTCCTTGATTCACATCCAGAGAGAACTCGATTCCATTCAGTTCCAAGTCTGGTCGACGTGACAACGGGTCTGCTATGTTACACTTCCCTGGCTTGTGATGTACCGTGTAGTCATAGTCGGCCAGGAATTCAATCCATCGAGCCTCTCTCTTGGTTAAGTTTGGTTTGGTCCTGAGGTAGACAACTCCCATGTTGTCGGTGTAGAGTTGAAAGTGGCGAAATAGGTAGACTCGCCAGCACTGCAGGGCGTACACTATAGCCAAAGTTTCTCGCTCGGCGGCCGTGTAATTCCGTTCGGCAGAAGGCAGCTTTCGGCTCACGTAAGCCACAGGATGCCAGGACTGGTCCTCTGCTTGCTGCGTTAAGACTCCTGCCACAGCAAAGTCACTTGCGTCAGTCTCAACGCGGAAATCCTGACTGACGTTTGCTAGTCGCAACACTGGTGCATCCAGCAGAGCAGACTTCAATAGCTCAAATGCCTCCTGTCGAGTCTGATTCCACTCAAAGCGCACATGTTTCCCTGTCAGTTCCTCCAGGGGTTTGGAGATGGCCGAGAAATGGTTAATGAACCTTCGAAAGTAATTAGCGAATCCCAGAAACTGTCTTACGTGCGTGACCATCGTCGGGACAGGCCAGTTATGCACGGCCTTGATCTTCTCTGGATCTGGAGAAATGCATTGGCCGTCTATCCGGTGCCCAAGAAACAGAACGTCTGTCAGGCCGAATTCACATTTAGACGGTTTGCAATATAGCTCATTCCTCCTGAGGGCGTTTAAGATGGTTCTGACATGATCGAGGTGCTCCTCCCATGATTTGCTGAATATGAGGATATCGTCTAGAAACACCACAACGAATTTACGCAGGTATGGCTGGAGGACACTGTTCATCAAGGTTTGGAATGTTGCCGGGGCATTTGTTAGGCCAAAACCCATCACTGTGAACTGAAAGTGACCGAATGGGGTATTTATTGCTGTCTTCGGAATATCTGTTTCTTCTATTCGAATCTGATTGTAACTGGACCTCAGATCTAGCTTGGTGAAATACGCACTGCCTTGGACGGTATCAAAGAGGTCGTCAATATTCGGTAGGCATGCCTTGTTCTTAATGGCTATGCGGTTTAGCTCACGCCAGTCGCATACCATTCGAAGTGTTCCATCCGCTTTCTTTACGAAGAACACAGGGGCTCCGTATGGGGATTTGCTGGGCTGGATGAATCCTCTACGGAGCAGCTCGGTGAGCTGAGCTTGAAGCTCACCCATCTCTGGTTTTGGTAAACGATATGCTGCACGAGATGGCGGTTTAGCTCCTTCTTCCGTTTTTATCTCGTGATCTGCGCCTCTTCTGGGTGGCAGCTTGTTTGGAAGCTCATCGGGAAAGACGTCCCCGAACTCCTTCAGCAGGTCCTTGACATCCTTCTGATCCTCCCTACCCGGACTATCCACCGTCTGTGGCTCGTCCGGATCTGCTGTCACATACGCTAGGATTCCTTCTGCGCCACCTCTCATTGCATGCCTAGCCTGCTTCCCTGAGATGAGGAACGTCTCGATCGGTGGGT